GAGTGGTTTCTACCCTGAAGCAAACGAGTCGTTCCTCTATTTCGCTTTAAGGAGTTTGTGCCCCCTCGAACGTTAAAGTACTATCGATCTTTTGCTCATGCGCAGTTCAAGTTTTGCGCCATTTTAGCGCATCTGCGCATGCGTAGAAGATCGATATTGCTGATGCTATAGCTGGTTAAAACTCCCTTTCATTTCGCTACATTTATCGATCAAAGCGCGCTCTTGTAGTTTTCTTGGATCGATCAGTTCACAATCGAGTAATCGAATGTGTTGAATCTGATTGCGTCTTTGACAGCGCTGACTATTTGAAAATGTTTGGATTGAACTACGTGGGTCTCAAGGTTGTTACTGTGATCTGGTGACATTTTAAGCAGTTTAATGCTGTTTTTGAAACACCTTATCAGAGAAGTAGGTAATGTGGTTTGTTAACTTTTTATTTGATTCTTTTGTAAGTATTTCAGTGCAAGATATTTCCGTTGTTTGGAGGTCTTGAGCAGTATCGTTGATAATCTCTTATGTTTAATTTTCAAAATTTCTGCATACTTGGACAGTGAAATATGAGGGCAATGCTTTTCATGCGAGATGTGACGTGTTAAGAAATTATTCAGTATTAAAAGCCAAGTATTGAAGAGGGTTGCTCGAGATGATAACATTGGCAATTAAACATACAGTCATTGCAGAGATTGATAACGGAACTGTGAGAGAATGGACGGGAACATCATGAAACCTGTGTGCAGTAAATTACTCATAAATATAATGTTCCCGAAAGTAGCTGCAGGGGTGGAACTGAAACTGAGTCACGGGGTTCTTTGTTTTTTATACAGTCATTATTTAAATCTCAGTTTTTTTAGAATAATATTTTGCAAAGGGGCTCATAAATTAATAAATTGTGTATTGTTAAAAAATTTCTAAAAAAGACTTTACCTTTCAAAATGTTTTAGAACTTTAATTATATCCATCATGAAGGCATACCACCATAAACAGGATTCCGAAGAAACTTCTGAAAGGCATGCAAAGACTCCCGAGTCACCAGTCCTGAAAGTAGATGATCAGTTCAAACTTCTACGACCATCAAAAGAACTCCTGTATTATAGGAGAAAAATGATGCAAGTAAGCAAAGAATTTCAAGAAATGGTTGCAAAGGTTGAAAGGTTAGTTTTGTAGTTTATTCATTTGAATAAATGCATCAATTTTGCATTATTAGCACATATTTTAAAAAATGTATTATTTGGTCAGTTTTCTGAGATTACACGTTAGAAAGTTAAATTTTGTATGGGTATCTTATTACTACATTTTAATCATATATTTACAGGGTGATATGGTTGGGGTGTAGTGTGCTGACTTCGCAGTCGGGAGGCATGTGTTGAATCCCTGGGCCGGTGATCCTGACTGGGTTTTTTGTGGTTTCCCTCGGTCATACAGGCAATAGATGGGATGGTTTCAAAAAGGCCATGATAATTTCTAATCATAATTTTTATTAATTTTATGATAATACGTAAATTTTGTTAATCCGAGAAGGAAGAGGGAAGTTCTTGCATGCCCTTCCTCCTCGCATCAGCCCCTAATATCAGAAAATAATAGCTGATAATTCTTATTATGTATGTTTCATCTAGTACTAAGATGTATACGCTTAAGTAGAGTATACTATCTAGTATAGATGTATACGTAAGAGTAAATGAATGTTTCGTTAGCAAAAGTTTGTATTCTCTGACATTGTTCTGGTTACAACTAAGGTGCAATGGTTTTTATTGTAAGAGTTCTGACTTCTATGTCCTCTGAAAATCATAAATACTGGGATCTACCAGATTTTAGTATGAGTAGTTATGAAAGTATGTGGAAATTAAATGTTAGGATCATATGATAAGAGAAAACGTGCGGAGATGGGAAGAACATACTTGCACACACTCACACTCGCAAATATATTGAAGATGCAGTAGGCTATTAATTGTGATTTACAAGAGTAAGTTAAGTGATACATCATTAAAAAATATGCCTTGTTTCTTCGCTTCACTCATTTTTAATGTCAGTACGAAAGTTCTTGGTACAATATTTAATCCAGGCTGTTTAAAACTAATAAGATTCATAAGCAAGACCCATTGCATTTGTAAATTGTAAATAAACAAATATTGTCTAATTTGTAATGTTTGAATGAAATTCAACCTTTTCTTTCCTTAGAGTTATTGTGAGTGGTAACAAGAATTACCATAGCCATACGAGTACAAGATTTTATTACTTTTGTTTTTATTTGTTTCTGTATGTAGACCTATTTGATGCTGAGTAAGTGTGATATTTTTAATTATTCTAAAGTTGCTGGGAATATGGTAATTTTATGTTAAATAGATTGAATGCATTACATAAAATAAATAAATATGTTATGATGAATATATTAAATATTTTATATCTATGTTAAAAATACAGCCAAAAATGTGATTTGGGATACTACACTATTATTTCAGAATAATTTATTAATTTCAGCAAGCCCTTAATTTGAGAATAATTTCTATGAATTGAAGTTTTCGATATTGTAGATGTAAAAATGTTTGTGAAGAACATCATCAGTTAGAAGTGGAACTCCAAAAACGACACCATGAAGTTATTCAATTGCAAGAAGCTGTCAGCGATCTTCAAGTGCATCTATATCAGGAACGTGAACAAGTTTTGCGATTATATGCTGAAAATGACCGCCTTAAGGTAACTTTCTAATAAATATGAATTTTTAACCGTATTTCTAAATTAGATGTTTCAGCTTCTGGAGGTTATTTCCTACGGTAAAGAATTACACAGATAAAATTTGTTTTATTTTTGTCTTATTGTCTTATTTTGATAGTTTTGGAGTAGTTTAAAATTATTTTTAATTATGTTAGTCAGATTTTTAGTAATACAAGTTTAATTTTTAGACATTTGTAGATATGTTTAGTTTTACTTAAATATCAATTCATTATTTACTCTGTTAGTATTAGTTTCACAAAGGTTTACTGTTTTTTATTAGAGTTCAAAGACTCAAATGTCTTTGTATACTATATTGTTGTAAGAGATACATAGTGCTGTGGGATTGGTGTTACAGTTCATTATCAATTTCAGTTATATAGAGTACAATGTAAATGTAATCCTTAATGGTTAAAGAGTTTGTTTAGCTCAATAATAAAATTGTTAACCAAATCCAGATTCTATTTGGAATTTACAGTTTACAATGAGGTTTCATCATATTAGTCCAGTGTTTCTTCCTTTCATTCCACCTTTCCTCCTTAATCACCTACCTCATTCTCCTAGTTCTCATTCATTCATTCATTCTCTTTAGTGCAGTACATCAGGCACTGCTGACTAGAATAATTTGTCTTTCTTTAAGGGCTCACTATTTTCACATGGCAACACCGAACATTACACGAGAAAAAAAAAATCCTAGAAATAATGTAAGCATTCATAATATAAACTGTATTATATTTTGACAAAATTGCAGATTCGTGCTCTTCAAGATAGAAAGAAAATAAACTACCTCTTGTCCATGACATCAACATCAGAAAAAGAATTAAATTTGATTTGCACAAGACCTTGGAGAACTGTAGTACCTCAAAAAGGAACTTCTGCTTTTCCGAATAATTCATCATCTTCTAAATTATCAGCTTCCTCTGGTAAGAATTTTATTTGTTTTTGATGTTTTTTGTTGTTTATTTCACCAGAACATTGTTTTGAATTAAAATTTAAAAAATTTTGCTAATTTATTATTAACTTTAATAGTTCCGATCATTTGAGACAAACTGAGAGATTATTTCTTGTCGCTCCTTTTTATTACATTCTTGGCTATCTGGGATGAGCTGTGACTCGGTCAATTGTGCTGACGTTTTAGCCATCTTGCTGAGGCCTTCTTCAGAGCTATAACGACTTGTACTTCTTGTCATTTTTCATAGATAATTGGACTATAAGTTTAATCTGCCATGTTATTGCCCTTTGTGACCAATTGTTCTTTTCTGGCTATCCCAAATGTACATAGTTGGTATCCCTGTGTAATAAAAGCAATTTACACCAGCACTCTTGAATTTAATTGGTATGTTCTTGTTTCCATTGTTGGCAGCATCAGAAAAGCAAACAAATGCTGGTGACATCGATGCTTTAATATTGCAAAATAAAGCTTTGTCAACTCAGTTAGACGAACAGACACGTCTCTTTCAAGATAATTATCACACGTTATTGAAAGATCGTGAATTGCTACGTGAAGAAGCTTCTACACAGTTTGAACAATGTCAAGAGAAAATTTCTAGTCTTACTTCTAAGTAAGTAAACATTCATTCAATAAGAGCTGCCAGTAATATCAGGAGATGAGAGGAAGCCTTTTGAAGTGGGTTCGTCCACACCCTGACCGGGAGGATGCAGACAAGGCTTTCAGGTGTTCTTTTGTGCATTTTACCTATCTTGCTCACCATTTCAAGTCACCTTTCACATCTTCACACTTTATCCTCTTTTCTTCTTCACTGGTTCCGAAACACTGAATGCCCACCAAGTGTTTGCTGTTAAAGACAACCTGTCAGAGGGAATGGGTGTTCTGATGTTGTTTATTTCTCATTTGCTTGCTTGGTGCTACTCTTCAGGTTCACGGAGTACATTTATTGCATAATTAAATTTTATCGTGTACCAATACACTGGCTTTGACCTTGGCTTCATCTCAACAAGTGATCAGGCTAGATCTCTGACTGATCTACAAGGTGAAGGCATTGTCATTTTGTCCCTCCTATGTGTGGTGGGGGGAAAATCCATGTTATTCCCTATTGAGGGTGTATGAAAACCGGGCAAAATACTGAGACATTTTTTAGACATAAAAAAAGGGGAAATTATTCCAGAAGTATTTTCTCTGTGTGAATTTGTATTGTTATAGTATGTATCTGTTTCTTTAAATATGCACTGAATATTGTTGCCATATTTCACAATTCCACTTTGACAACCCTGACTGTTTGCATTTGAAATCAACCCTTCATTATTAATAAAATATGAGAGTTGAAGCATAAGTCATGGCAACCTTTTTTTTTTTTTTTTGTCAGAAAATGAGCACAGGTAGAAAATGTGAAATATACATATGAAAGGGCAAGGTATGAATGAAGTGCGAGGACATTTAACAACACATCAACATTCTGATAGCGCTGGAGGTTATTCTTCAAAGGAAGGGTACTTGATGACCTTCATCTGTTGTTCTAATCAAGTATTTTTAGTCAGTTGTTGAGTAGGGTCTTTTACACAGATCGTCCTCTTTGACCAAATGTCCTCTTGACATGTCCTACTTTTTATCCTTTTGTCCAGAGTCCGGGCGAAGTTTTTAAAACTCACAATGTGTCCTCCTTTTTGTCATTTACTTGTTTGAGAACTCAGTATTTTCAAATTATTTATTTCATCTCATATTTACGCTAATATTCCTGTAAGTTCCTGCCCTCCTTTTCTTTGATAAGGATCTGGTCACCCTATTGTTGAGACAATTGCATGTTAGACTGTATTAACATTATTCTGTTGTTTATTATAATTGTGTTGTTTTGCATTTCAGACTTAATGAAGCACGGACAAAACTATGTGATACAGTTAAAGAAATGCTATTAATAAAAGAAGAAAATCTGAGAAATGAGCTTACATGGACAACTGAACGAGATATGTTTTTGAAAACCATTCAGAAGCAAGATTCAGGTGTTTCTTCTTTTGATCATAGTATAAAAGGAGATGGTCGTTCTAAAAGAGGAGATAGAATTACCTGTGAACTGCGCTTGCTGAAGGTTTGTAACATTTTTCTCTTTTGTTCAACGTGTGTTTCTAGCATGGACAAATTGCTCTGATTTTATAATTTTTACTTGACACATTTAGGGTCAATATATTACCTTACTACAGAAACTGATGTTGTGAATTAACTGTAACATCCCTCTGGTGTCCATTCACTCCTTCAGTAGATCTAGGATTCTTTGTGAATTCACCTGTTGAGGTAGGTCTTTTCACGTCCTGACAGGTGCAGGGAAGGCTCTCAAGTATTCGTTTGTTTCACCAGTCATCTTTCTTCACCCCATCATTCATTCTAGTTCTTTTATAATACCCTGTCTCTTTTCTCCTTCCCCTTTTATTTCACTGCCCTCCCCCCAAGGTGATCTGTGTCAGAGGGAACGTATGTCCTGGCGGTTGAGGGACCTGTTTGTTTCCCAACTACTCCCCTTGTGCTACTTTCTTCATTGCATCAAGGAATGCGTTGCTAATGTTTCTTAGGTTATTGTTTCTTCTACATTCCTTGTAGGTTTCAATACACCTGCTTTGGCTGTGGACTCTTCTAGATGGAGGTTCAGAAGCACACTCACTCCCGATCAATTGTCTCAGACTAGGCATTGTCCTGAACTCTAGGACAGAGTGGGGCGATCCACGGCAGGGCAGCGCTATGTTATCCCCCCACTATATCCCTGTGGCAACCCTGGCACTCCAACAGAGCACTGTTTCCTCATCATGTGTAGGAATGATTGTGAAACAATGAAAAGTGTAAGTGCTATTAAACTCACCAGAGAAGTAGAAAAAATTGGCAAGTTTCAGGCAGTAGTTCGCCAGAGAAACAGCACAATTCTGTTTGAATGCTGTACTGATGAGCATATCAAGAAAATCTCTGATTTAAAAGAAATTGCCGGCTCCAGGTTCATGTGTCCACCCACCCGACTTTAAACCTCTGTAAGGGTGTGGTGAATTATGAAGATTTTGCATCAAAATGGAAGAAGACGTAAAAGCCTTCTTTTAGACCGAAAGCGTGACTGACATTTACAGGATCTAGCGGAGAGTGAATGGGGTACTCACCCCTATCTCAACGCTGATACTGACCTTCGGCCGCAGTGTGGGTACATAGTGAAAAATAATTGTATAATGATTCAAACTGCTCCGCATATCCGCGTAAACTGTTCTGGAAATAACCCATTGAACTCGAACCAATGCCCCCGTCTTTTTGAAAGGGGAGATCCAGACGATTGGGTCTCGGGGAAAGTTTCCTTTCCCGAGGCACAATGTCGACACCAGACGCCTAACCCTGTAAATATGGACACCAGGGGTCACCAGCAAAAGACTTCAAAATGCGAAACCCAAACACCTAAAGTTGGCTCACAGAGGTAACTGCGCAAGTTGCACAATACTGGCGAAAGCCTATTTGCTGTGGTTTCGAACACTTTCTTGTTGGTTGATTTGGCCCTCTGCAGTCTCCCTCACCCCTCTCTCTTACCCCTCACCCTCACCCTCACCCTCACCCTCACCCT